TACTCTCATTCCTGGATACTTATTTGTAATAGCTTAGACTTTAAATTCCCGCAATTTATCGCTTTCATATACTGTATAGTAATTAGGGTTTGTATGCGAAGATTCAAAATCAATCGCTAGATAACCTAAATACAAGACAAATGCATGATAATCAAATACACCATTCACACTTTCACCCCTAGGGTAATCCCGCTTGTTGCCTTCCAAAAACGGGCCATGTTGCACGTCAAGTTCTTTGGCAAAACAAAAAAACAAATCAAATGATCATAGTCCCTCGATGACGCTTTCGAAGTTGCCTAAAAAATGATCAAGTCCCTTTCAAGCAAAATTGCCAAAGACACTTGGCACCATTGCGTTCATGGTCCATACGATGACCCGCGCCTGTCCCGTTAACATCCTAACACAAGATTGTCCACCAAATACAATGGTGGAACAATACTGTTAAAAGGGTTAAAACATGAGAAAAATCTTTGAGTAAATTTAGGGGTAGACAACTCTTAGTTACTTGATCAAACTTGCAAAACACACTTGCCTACTTTTCAAAACACACTCCACAACACACTTTCAAAAAATAAACTTTCAAAACATTGAAATATCTTTTCGAAAAGACAAACACCTTTGTAAAACATTCGAGTAAAGAATTGTTACAAGGGTTGCCTAGACAAGGCATCTTTTTCAAAACATTTTCAAAACCCACACACACAAAGCACCATTTCAAACAATTGAAAATCAAGGCAAGTGATCTAAAACAAGTACCTAAGAGCCCATGGATAACCATGGATGAAAAGGGTGCTAATACCTTCCCTTTTCATAATCTACCCCCCGAACCCACGAAACATCTCAAAAGGTTTTTCCTGTGCTTTTTAACCTTTCCTTTAGGATAAAATAAAAAGTCGGTGGCGACTCTTGCTAAACCGAACAAGTGCGAATACAAACGCAAAACTTCAAGTCAGTTCTCCCACCGTATCACAGTGTAGGATTTATTTTTCCTGCATTTTTATTGCTTTTATACAAATGTTAGTAATTAGGATGTATGGCAAGATAAAAACCAACAAGTAGACAACCTAAAATTCAAAGACAAAATGCATGCAAATTGAACACACTATTCACACATGCACCCTTAGGGTAATCTCACTGGTTGCCTTGGAAAATAGTCATGTCCCTCGAATACGAGTGTTTTAGCAAAGACCTTCGATAAAAGATCGTAGTCCCTCGATGACCCTCAATGTTGCCTTCGGTAAATGATCTAGTCCCTAAACAACATTGCTAAAACATCCCATAGGTTACCGTCTATGACTATAGAAATGTCCCACGCTCGTCCCTTCACATCCAATGATGGGGCTTCTTACCAAATCAATGGTAAGATAACAACATCTAAAGGAGGAGGAAAAGAACACTAGACCTTTTGAGTAGGTAGGATGCTCCTAGTTGCTCGCTTGCTCACAACAAAAACATTTTATACACCAACACTTTCATTTGAAACATTTTCAAAAGACAAAGCTCTTTGTACGCGTTCTTATAGAGACGAGAACCATTACAAAAGACACTTTTCAAAATCACTTTCAAAAACACATTCCACAAACACCTCTTTGAACTATTTTTAAAATCAACACTTTATACGCGTTCTTATAGAAACGAGAACCATTACAAAGACGTTTTTCAAAATACTTTCAAAACCCACACCACAAGCACATTTTCAAACAAAAGCAAGTGATATAGCAAGCAACTAAGAGCCCATAGATAACTACAGATGAAAAGGGTGATAATACCTTCCCTTTTCATAACCTACCCCCCGAACTCAAGAAATAATCTCAAAAGGTCTTTCCTGTTCTTTTCAACCTTTCCTTTTGTATAAAAGAAAAGTCGGTGGAGACTCTTGCTATCTACAACAATTGCAATCAAACATAAAACACCAAGTCAGTTCTCCTACCGCGTTACACGTTGGTTGTGAGAATCCAAGTTAAAGGTAGCACTCAACAACCCTTCAGTCGAACGTTTCCACTTAAGGCTCTCCTTGCAAATGCTTCACGGTCTTTCTAAATCTGTTAATCTTTAGACTCAAGTCTGTGTTGCATCTGTCTTTTCTCCTTAGCTAAGTTATGGAGGTTAAGTTCCAATTCTTCTTTCCCCTTTTGAGATTGATTCAAGGCTTTATTCAAGTTGTTTATTTCTTCTAAGGACATAGGCATGGAAACTTAACAACTTTCACCCTATCCAAAACCCATCGAGTGTAAGTTTCTTTCACCACAACATTCTTTCTTTCAGCTTTTCTCTTGTTAACCATATTTCAAGCTCAGATGATCTTGTTGAGCAACTCTCGGTCATTTTTGTCCACGTCGTGAATGATTAATTATTGAAGTTTGTTCATCAAAGGGGTTAACCTCTAAAAGGTATCGAAGTTGTCGTAAAGCCAAGGTAGGGTTATAGTTGATGAAACCATGTGATCTAATCAATGGAACATTCCGAAAATCTCCTCAACTATAAATGATATCTCCAATATTTAGCTTCTTTGCATACCACAACACAAAATAAACAGTAAAAGACTTTAATTTTTAAGGCCACTCGAATCGTGTCAGAGTTTTAATCATATAGTCTTCTTTGTAGAGATGAGACATAAACCAAGAACATAGAAGCAGGATACAACAGTTCAGCGTACCCCTCCCCTTTTCGTAACGAGTATGAAGAGCATAATAAATATCAGCAAGCAAAGCAGGAGTTGGGTCTGCATTTAAAGCTTTTGCGCCCCAAAACACACTAATAACTGCAGGGTCAATATAGTCCAAAGTCTGCGGAAATAGAATTACATCAAAGACCAGTAGCCCTAAACAATTAATACAAGACTCACATTCTTTGTTATTGGTAAAAGAAAGGGCTTTAGATTCCAAATATTGTCTTTTAACCCCTTGTACATCACCTTCTTTCTTGTAATTAAGTGAAAATTTGGGATAAGGGATCCCTAAACCATTTTCTAAGTCCTTAATGTCAATTGTTTGTCCGATTCCCACAATTGCTTTTCCTTTAGAAAAATCCAAAAGTCTATCAAATTCTTCCAAAGTCGGCGCTAGCTGAAAGTCTTAGAAGGTAAAACACCTCAATGGAGGATCGTAGAACTGAACCAAGGCAGAAATAACATTAAACTGTACACCCACTTTTCTCAACTCAAGGGTATCCCCATAACAGGGAGTAAACATTTTCAAAGCTCTTTCAGACAGTTTCCCTTTGATGATCTTGATCTTCGTCATGTTTGGCTTGACAGTATTAACACAGACAAGTTGTTTCCTTATGGCATTCATTTTTAAGACACTTCACTAAAAAACCTTTGATTATTTTTTTTAATCCTGTGAATAAGACAGACAGAAAGAGTGGATAATAATGAATATGTGAAATGCAAGATGTATGAATGCATGATTGTGTGGCATAATAACATGATTTCATGAAAGGTATCTTTAGTTGGTAGGCTCCTAGTTTTGGCCTACGAATATTCTACCATTCCCATAAGGTGGTTTCTTTAAAGGTATCATGGATAAAACTAGAGGGAATGACACAAGGGTCTCCCTTAAGTGGAGCCTATTTGCAGACCGAAACTTTTGTCTATAAGGTCGTGAAAGGTCTCACCATGAGATTTTGGTTTAAGGGTTATACAAAAAGTCATAGGTTTCATTCCAAAGTCCTATCCTTCAAGAGGATATCTCTTGAGACATATTCTTTTTTGGAATTCCACCGACTCTTGGAGAAGTCGTCACAAAAACTCATAGAGATGATGTATCTCATTGGCTAATAGACGAACCTTCTTTCTAAGGTTTTTTTGAAAATAATTTTAAAAAATAAAATCCCGCCACAAATAAATATAATATGAAAATAAAGATATAAAGACGAATAAATAAACCAAAAGAAATGAATAAATAAAAATAAATAATAAAAGTATAGAACCCTGAAAAAACCCTAAATTCCAAAGAAAGGTTTATAAACCCTAGGATTGAGTCACCGACAGAGTCGCCAGCTGTAATAACCGGTTTAAAAAAGAGAGTCGCCATCATTAGTTTTTATCATAGGAAAGGGAATATAACAAATCCTAATTTGGTCAGAGATTCTAAGTTCTTGACTCGCTTTAGACGAGGGGAAGGTGTTAGAAACCCCTCATCTACCTTGTTCACAAGGATACTAGGGTTTAGGTTTACGGTTTAGGAATAAGATTTTAATTTTTATTAGGGAAACTCGCCATGATTTTAAGTCCTATGCCTATGTACCCTCTTATGAGGAATCAGAGTCCCAATTTGTAGTTCGTAGTTGTTTGGTTGGTCTTTTTTATGGATTATGGAAATATCTCGAATTAATCCTTGAACCAAATCTGGGTTGAAAATAGTGGAGTTGTTAGACGAAATTCGCAGTTAATGAGAAATATCTCCATAATCATTTTTTAAAATAATATCTTGAGTTTATTAAGTTAGTAGAAAATTGTTAGTAATTTGATTGGATAGATATTTTCGAATATATTATACAATATGATAAAAAATAATTTTAATGCAATTAAAATATTTGAATGAGTTAGTAATAAAAAAAGAATTCGAATTAATAAAATAAATTTGAAATTTTTTATAAATATATTAAATATTTAAATATTAATTATGCAAAATAATAGAAAATAATTAATAAATAAAGTTATAAAAATAAATTGATTTTAATTAGAAACGCAAGGGGTGTAAAAGTAGTTAGTTAGTAAAAAAATTAGGGTATGAATAATAAGGCCCTAAATTCAGATATTGGATTTAGGCCCAAAGCGCAAGGGGGTGTTGTTTTACGTTGGAGAAGGAATTGTGGGGGTGTGAATATCAGGTCTTAAGCCCATATCAAAAACCTACTATTAACCTCAATCTAAAATTATGCCTAAAATAAGCAAATAAAGAAATTAAGAAACATAAAAAGCATAGTTTAGGGCGGCACTATATCATGAGGGGAGAGTCTTTGACTTTCACATTTTTCCTAACCTATCACTTTGTGACATGTGGCCCATCAATAATAAAAAAAAACAAAAACCCAAACAAAATATACACGATATAGAGAAAAAAGAGGACAACAACAAAATCTCTCTTCCTCACTTCATCAATCTCTTTCAAAATCAACATTTTCTTCTCAACCAATACACCTACAAATCACACCATCCACCAAATCAACAAAATACACAAACATTAAGATCCTCTTCTGTGAATTTCTTACGCTTGTACAGACTTGGAAGTTAGGTTTGTATTTAATTGTGATTGAAGAAGATCCAGGATGATTGAGATTTGAATTGCTTTAATATTGTCTTATGGAACAAGTTTAAGCATATTTGGAATGATTTATTTAATTTTTTCCAATTAGAATTAATGAGGGATTTTATTGGTTTTGTAACAGAAAATTGGAGAGATTTATTTGTGATTTATAATGAAAGATTTGATCTAATCTAAATGCTTTTGTTATGACTTTGGAAAGATTGGATTATTTCTTCTTTGCAACTCTTGATTTACACTGTCCTGAATTTAGATTTTGAATAAGTAAAGACTTTGTGTCTAAGTTTATAGTATCAAGGATCTTGCAGGTAGTGATTTGGTTTGAGACTTAGAAAGTATCTTTCCTGCTTATAAAAATCGTCATGCTCTTTCTAATTTTTCTCGATGGATAACAATAATAATGATAACAAAATATAATAAATTAAACAAACCAATTACAAATTATTACTTTTTCATATTTTGATATGACTTCTATTATCGTTTGTTTTCTCTCTTTTTTTTTTTTTTAGTAAGATGCAAGGTGATGATGGTAAATGACAATGTTACATAATAGTAATAATAATAGGAGTGATAATATAACTAGTGGTAAGAATAATATTGATGATAAAACAAAATAGAAAAAAGAGAAGAAGAAAAAGATGAAGATAATAATGGTAATAATAATAATAATTATAATAATAATAATAATAACAATAATGATTTTAGTAAAAATAATAATCATAATAATCATAGCTAATAATAAAACGAAAATAGATTCTTATAAAAAATTTGAAATATGCCAATAACTGTTCAGTTATTGTTGGGTCAGCCTATTTCCCTAAAATGTATCCTCTTTATAATTTAAAACAAAAGTAATTGAGACATCTAAACACACACTCCTCTCGTTTATTATAAATCAGCTTAAAAAAATTTAAATGGGTTTCAAACCCCTTAATCAAATCACACATTCTTTTTAATTATTTAAAAACAAATAAAAACACCCTAATTTATTAACGAAACTCAAAAATTTAATGCGTTTAAAGACAAACAAATTTATACAATATGATTTATAATTTTGAAACATAGTGATCATGGAATTTTGATGGGACAAATTTTGAGTATGATATTTTGTAGTAGTGAATTTTGAACATGATATATATATATATATATATATATATATATATATATATATATATATATATATATATATATATATATATATATATATATATATATATATATATATATATATATATAAAACGGCCAAGCTTTAGCAGTTAGAGTGAAAATGGAGATAACAGGTGTCGCATTTGGTATACCCTTTCGCCATTCAATAACTGATTCATCTTCTCAATCCACCAAACCCTTTTCCGCAAGAAAATCACCCAAACTCCAAATTCAACATGCTTCCGATTTGCCTTCTACACTTACAAGGTACACTCCGTCTTCTTCTAATTCCAAATTTATAACTACTATTCTTCACTTCACAATTCATATTTATTGTTTCAGGGTTGGAGAAATGTTGACAGTGAAAGAACTCAATACCGCTTTGAAGCATTTCGGTAATTCAAACAAATTTAACAATATCTCTCAGGTAATTAATTATTTGCTTACTTCATTTCTTTCTTACTAACTCCATGTTTGGATAAACATTTAAGATAATTATAAGCACTTATCTGTGTTTATGTATACGCCTGTTTGGATAATTAATTTTATTTCTAGCTTATAGCATAAGAGTTTATCATGATAAGTGTTTATGTATAAGTTATTCATATAACAAACGATAAAATTATTTGTAGTATCTTGGTGACTTTATGAAAATAAATTGAAGCGTGTGTTTGGTTTTGCGGTAAAAAGAATTGATTTTGAATGAATTCATTATGTAAAATTGATTCTACTTAAAAGTGAGTTGAATGTAAAGTGATTTATGCTTTGGATAAATTTATGTAGAAGTGAGTTGAACAGTAAGTTGCACTGTAAAAATCATTTTTAAACTCAAAAGCTATAAATTTTAGTTTCAAGTAGAATAAACGAACCAAACACCTCAAAGTTAGTCCAAAAATCAATTTTGCACCTCTAGAATTGTTTTTGCCTCTTCCAAAAGGTAAACCAAACCTACACGAAAAACCGCTTACAAACAAGCCATAAGCCGATTTTATAAGTTCTCAAGCAAATCTCATAGGTGTTTATGTCTTTAGATAAGTTCAAATAAGTTCATCCAAACAGACCCAAAACAAAGTCAAATTGTTTTCATATAAGCCGTATAAGTTATTTCTATAAGCTGTTTCATAAGATCTTCCCAAAGTCTTGTAACTGCTTATATCAATAGTTAGTAGGTAAGGTCAAATAAGTTAATTCAAACACGTGTTTAATCATTCATGCAATCATGCCAAACTCATTTACCATGACTCTTGTATTTGCTGCAGCTTTTTTTATGGATGCAAGAGAACAAGAAGGTTGATGTATATTCTTATTCCCATTATATAAAATTCATGGCCAATAAACTTGATGCTTCCACGATACTAAAACTGTATAACAACATTCAAGATGCATCGGTCAAAGACAATGTTTATGTATGTAACTGTGTTCTCCGTTGTCTACTCCGGAACGGCAAGTTTGATACCTCCATTAAACTCTTTCGCCAGATGAAAGAAGATGGTCTAGTTCCAGATCTTGTTACCTATAGCACCGTATGTAATTCTTTCATACATTGTTTTGCTGTGTTTTTGTTTCACCGCAAATATGTAATGTGTTGAATTTAGGTTCAGTTCTTTCTTGCAGTCTAACTTTTGTTCACACTGGCAGCTTATTGCAGGCTGTGTTAAAGTAAAAGATGGATATCCTAAGACACTAGAGCTAATTCAGGAATTGCAGGACAATAATCTGCGAATGGATGATGTAATTTACGGGGCAGTTCTGGCAGTATGTGCTTCCAATGATAAATGGGAAGAAGCAGAATGCTATTTTAAGCAGATGAAGAGTGAAGGTCGTTCTCCAAATGTTTACCACTATAGCTCTTTGCTCAATGCTTATTCGGCATGTGGAAACTTCCAAAAAGCTGATGTGCTGATCCAAGATATGAAATCTGAAGGGTTAGTACCAAACCAGGTTTGTTTTCCTTGTCTTTTTTATAAAATTTCAGAGGAAAATTTGTGACAAGTAGTTTATCATATATGTGGCTTTGTATTGGTTGCAGGTCATTTTGACAACCTTGCTGAAGGTATATGTTAGAGGAGGTTTGTTTGAGAAGTCAAGAGAATTAGTAGCCGAACTGGAATCTTCGGGCTATGCTGAAGATGAGGTAATAGTAATCTCTCAATTGAACAAAGAAGGGTTTTTTTGGTTTTTCTGCATCTGAAATATTTGTAAATCATTTCATAGCATTATCCATATGTTAATAATGCCTAAAGTGTATTTCATATCATAAATTTTATATCCTTTAAACCTTTTCTATGTCTTCTCTTTTTGAGTGTCTTATCCAAATAGTTTGGATCTATATGCAGATGCCGTACTGTGTTTTGATGGATGGCCTAGCTAAGGCTGGACAAATACATGAAGCCAAAGTAATTTTTGACGAAATGATGAAAAAACAAGTCAGGTCTGGTAAGTTATCTTTTGAAGTTTCCTTCAATGAAATAAAGCACTGTGTGAGGAAAACTACATAAATGTTTGGTTATTCTGAAGGGATTAATTGACTAGTAGTAATATACAGATTTAATTCCCACTTGCAGATGGCTATGCTCACAGTATCATGATATCAGCATTTTGCCGAGCCAAGCTTTTTCAAGAGGCAAAGCAATTGGCCAAGGATTTTCAGACTACCTTTAACAAATATGATGTAGTTATAATGAATTCAATGCTCTGTGCATTCTGCAGAGCGGGTGAAATGGACAGTGTGATGGAAACTCTAAGAAAGATGGATGAATTCGCAATCAGTCCTGATTACAATACCTTCAATATTCTAATCAAATACTTTTGTAGTAAAAACATGTATCTATTAGCTTATCGAACCGTGGAGGACATGCGTAGTAAAGGCTATCAACCAACGGAGGTACAATGTTTTACTTACGTACTGATGTTGAATGATAGGGACTAGGGAGAAAAAAAGAAGATTATAAATGTGAAGTTGCTCTAACTTGATTAAAAGAAACCGAGAAAGCTTCATTTAATAAATTTTGATGTGATTGTGTTCTATCTATTATTTGTTCAGTCACCAAACAAAAGTTTTAATTTGTTCCTCTCTTTATAGGAGCTCTGTTCTTCTTTAATATTCCATCTTGGTCAAGCAAAAGCTCATTCAGAGGCGTTTTCTATTTACAATATTCTGAAATATAGCAAGAGATCAATATGCAAGGCACTTCATGAGAAGATTCTGCACATTCTTCTAGCAGGAAAGCTTTTGAAAGATGCATATGTAGTATTTAAGGTATTCTTGCAGGTTTTAAGAATATATAACTCCTTTTTTACCTCGTACCATTGTGGTTCATTTGATGGATCTTATCGTATTCAGGATAATGCAACATTTATATCTGGCCCTACCACCAAAAAATTTGCAAGTGCGTTTATGAAGTCAGGTAACATCAATTTGATCAATGATGTTATGAAGACACTCCATAGTTGTGGCTACAAGATTGATCTGGTAATAATCTTGCTTGTATTGCAACTTGAATACTGTTATTAGTAAGACAATTAGTTCATGGCATCATTTTCTTTTCTTTTCTTTTTTAAATAACCACATCCGCACTAACATAACATCTACAACTAAATATCCATCCCCTCCCATGTTGCAGGATTTATTTGAGATGGCTGTATCACGCTATTTAGGTCAGCCCGAGAAGAAAGACTTGCTTCTGCACTTACTACAGTGGATGCCAGGTCAAGGTTATGTTGTTGATCCATCAACAAGGAACCTAATCCTCAAGAACTCACACTTATTTGGTCGACAGCTCATTGCAGAAGTATTGTCCAAGCAACGAATTAAGTTAAAAGCCCAAGAATCTCGGTAGATAAAGTATGTGAAATTTTGCCATTGATTATATAATTCTAGTCTTTGTTTGTACTGATAATCAGATCCTCTTTGTTTCACAAGATATGTAGTTTCATGCACCATACATTGCCTCGCTTTTCCTTGGCCTTTTTAAATTCTAATGTAGCAAAAGACCGATTGTACATAAACAGATGTAAATGTATCATGTCAAATAAATCATTTCCTTTTTTTTAGTTCTGGTCAATAACCTGTCTTAGTTTACAAAGTGAACCCTCACTTCAAATGCTTATCTTGAAACTCAAAGGTATGTGGTTAATTCTACACCGACAAGAAGGGACTAAATGGATTAATATAAGCGATGATCGACGTGTGCAATACCTTAAGATTTTGAATGAACATACCTTCAGATTATGGTATTAGTATAACATACCTAATGTATAATGTTTTTGCAATGCCTGCTGTTTATTATTGTTGACTGAAAAAGTAACTTATAGCAAATACTGATTATGCTGGAAAGAGAAAAAGGTATAAACAGAAAAATCATAAATCATGAATCATGAAGTGCCTAATTTTCATCTTTGTTGGCCCTGCTGATACTTCTTGAACCTACAACAACTTCAACAGTCAAACACAGGTATCTCAATTGGATACAAATGGATTCTATCGGACCATGCACTCTTTACATTTGGATCAATATCAGAAAGGCACTTCCACACTGCACTATTACATTTGAATCCACTTCCAAACCCAATTTGCCAAACTTTATGTCCTTTCTTTACTCTTCCTTTTGCTTCCAAATAGCTTAGTTCATACCATAGAGAAGAAGATGAAGTATTTCCAAATCTATATAATGCCATCCTTGAAGCCTCTCCATCTTCTCTATGGAGCTTCAGATTTTCCACTATGCCGTCTATTACTGTCTTACCGCCTGCATGTATACAGAAATGCTCAAAAGCCTTCTTGAAATTTGGTACGTACATTTCTTTATCCTCCGCTGCCCATATTTTCCTGCGAATCATCGACAGCCCGTATCGAAGTTGCTCGGAATATGGCAAGACAAGAGGGCCTAAGTTTATTATATTGATCCTCAAAGCTGAAGAAGCTACACTTAACAGCGATCTCGAAAGGGAAACGCCTACAATATTGTTTTCGTCAGGTTTCTGATAAACACACTGATAGGCTTTGTCTTTTGATCCCAAATGTGTTCTCACAAGATGTTGAAGCTTGTACTTGGCTATTCCCTTGTCTTGATTTCGGTTGGATAGTAAAATGGCTGCTCCCCCCATTCGAAACAGCGCGTTTGCGATAAGTTTGGATTTCGTATTGCCATTATATCCATTTGGAGCTACAGCTTCCATGCTTAGAACTAAAGCCAGTGAATTTTTATGAACTTTTAGAAGATCTTTCACCAAGCTTACAGACAACAACCCAGCACTGCAACCCATTCCACTTAGGCTGAAACATTTTATGTTACTGCGAAATCCAAATTTGTTGATGATGGTTGAGGTAATGCATGGTGTGGGACAGAAAAGGCTACAATTTGACACAAGGATGTCTATGCTCTTAGGATGCACATTGTGTTTCGAAAGAAGTTCGTCGACGATTGTGAAAAGAACCATTTCAGTTTCAGCTTGTGCATGCTTCATAGAATTATCAGGCGGGAGCTCATGAACCGATTCTGGCATGCAAGCCTCAACTCCAATACCGGATTTCTTCAATACTTTAGTATGAAATTCTATGGTTTCTTTTTCAAAGTTACACAATTTAAAGTGTTCTATGAAATGGGAGTGAGGGACTCTCAAATTACCAGGAGGTAAATAACAAACATAATCAATAAGGTAGACGCTAGTGGATTTGAAACAAATGTAAAGTAATGTGAGAATTAATGCTATCACTGCAATGGATTGTGTCACAGAGATGGAACCTTTGGATATGGCAGATAGGTTTAAGAAAGAGAAGTAATTGCATAAAAAAGCTTTCATGATCATAAGCTTGAACTCAACCATTTGAAGTTTGGATTTGGTATATTAGTTTAAATATAAAGAACCAGCTTATTTTAGTGCGAGTAGAAGGAAGTTTTCAAATGCAACTGTTCTGTCCCTTTCTCATGCAGTGTGTCATTCCCTTTATGTAACAAAAATTTCATAAACTAAAATATAAAACTTGTTTTTGCAATCAAAACACTTCCTTTTTTTTTGTAGTTACCCTTTCTTCCCCCTAAATAAATGCATCATTTTGTGAAATGCAAAGCGTGAAGTTTGTGTGTTTTTAGTTGGCCATCACCACATAGTTTGTGTGAAATAACCATCCATATGAACAACTTTGAATTTTTCACTGAAAAATAATTAATTTTTTAAGAGAAATTTGCAACTTAAATTGGTACTCTACTGTAACGATATATAAACAAAACAGAAAAGAAGAAACAAGAAAAGCATCAAAACACAACACTGTTATACTTGTTCTGAATGGTAAAAGCACAGTAAAATAATGCAAATTCAAACTCAAAAAAGGCATCTTTAGTAATTTCTCTTATTTATATTCTAGTACACATTGTTTGCAACAAACTCCATACAATGAAAGAATAAGTGAACCATAAATTACAACCATTTACCAAAAACAGAAAAATGTACTTTTCATAAATAAGCAAATACAAACCTAACTTCACTCGCTCTAACAAAAACGGTTTCCTTCCTCACTTCCTCACTTTTACCTCAGTATAATAATCACCTGCTGTGATAAAATAAAAGAAGACAAAGCCGTGCTACGCGCGCTCATGCTGCTCTTAGGCTCTTTGACAAACGCTCATAGTACTGCCTTTGCTGCTCCAGAAAAAGAAGAGAAAAAAACAATGTAAGTTTGTAGAATTAATTTATCCGACTTAAGATATCAGTTCATGTGTAAAAGAAATTTCGCAGAATGAACCATACCTTGTCCGACACAGACGGAGAAGCTTTACTTAGTGCTAGCTCAAAATGACTTGTCCTGATAGTCAATGAGATAGTCAATGAGGTTGTCTCTGCTGAGCTCAACTTCTCATCAAGAGCAGCCATTACTGCTTCATTCATCTGAATACACAAGAAAATCAGCAAATCTCGAACTGTAATCTCTGTTTTTCTTAGAGCAAAGACAATGCCAAAAGTACAAGGAAAAAGAGTAGATACATACCAATTCTGCAAGATCGGCACCACTAAGGTTTTCACATGATTCCATTCTTCCAATGGCACTCAAATCCACACTAGAATCAATATTTTTATTCCTTGCAAGAGCTTTCAATATCAAAACGCGGTCATCTGGGCTTGGAAGAGGGACGTAAAGCAGTTTACCGAATCTACCAGGCCGCAAGAGAGCGCGGTCCATCACCTCAGGCCTGTAGAACGAAACTAAGTGAATACAGCATGATGAGGAAGTCAAATGACTAATTAGAGATTTGAGAATAAAAACCAAATGTACCTATTTGTTGCACCAATCACAAATACACCTCTCCGACTCTCGGCACCATCTAACTCAATAAGCAACTGCAATTTAATATAATTGTCTCATTTTAGTCATTTTATTATAAAGAATAAGTCATTATGATAGCATTTTTTTTGTTTCAAAAACTAGAAATTGTTTGACCTGGTTCAATAGTGTTTCAATAACCCATTCACCTTCTTTACCGTGTTCGGTAGTCAGAGCATCAACCTGAAAATGGAAAAGTTAAATCTCACACAAATTGAAACTTATGTTTATGTTGCAATCTATTTTACAACAAACTAGGTTTGACGGGCATTCGAAAAAACCTTCATAGAAAACATTCTTAGGAAAAGAGAACTACAAACAAACCTCATCAAAAAATAGTACACATGGTGCACAAGTCCTTGCACGACTAAACAATGTCCGCACCGAAAGCTCACTTTCCCCGACATACTTATTTAGAAGCTCGGGTCCCTAAGAATTCAATAAAAACAGTTCAAATATCCAAAAAAAATATGCTTTATTCAAAACAGGAACATTCTCCGTAAACCACAGTTAATGATAAAAGGATGGAATATTTAGGCCACCTTAATATGAATGAAATTCGCTCCCACCTCATTGGCAACAGCTTTGGCAATAAGTTTTTTACCACATCCTGGAGGTCTATAAAGTAAAAATCCAGACTCGAGATTTATCCCGATTCCCTGAAAATGGTTAAATCCAATAACACTGATCATCGATCGGTCTTGTGAAGTTGTGATATACAACTTACCATAGTTTTTCATTAAATAGTTAAGACAATCAATCGATCCAATTTAAGATAAGATACTGTTTAGTATGAGCATTGGAGAACATAACCAAATTACTGATAGGAGACTTCTGAAAAATAATGAAAAATAATAAACAGAAAAAGAAGCTAATCAATGTAAATTGAGACATTTTCTTCATTTGAATTTTAACAAATAATTTTGGCTGACAAGTTCAATAGAGAAAAAAGAACAGTAAATATTAAGTTAAGAAAAACATAACAAAAATTGATTATGGTTAGCAGGCCAAAAACATAATCCAAACTGATCCTAATTGAATTATCCACAAGTTAAAGTTTGAAGGTTGCAGCAATACCTGAGACTCCAGAAACCACCTCCGTAGCCGAAATATGATGAAAAGGAAGACCAGTTTCATTAGCTATAGCATGGGCAAGTCTAGTCTTTCCACAGCCAGGTGGTCCATGCAACAAAATTCCAGTAACCGGTTTCACCCCTAAATGTCTAGGCAACCAAGGATTACACAATGACACAATATCCATAATCAACTCCTCTATAATAGCCTTCATCCCACCCAAATCCTTAAACTTCGGCCCCTCTTTCCCTTTCACCTCAAGACCACCGCCGCCACCGGTATTAGAAACTGAACCCTTTGAGTGTTTACCTGTTGTCGATATGGATCCTTAAACTTCGGCCCCTCTTTCCCTTTCACCTCAAGACCACCGCCGCCACCGGTATTAGAAACTGAACCCTTTGAGTGTTTACCTGTTGTCGATATGGATTTGGATTTACTACCATCCGCATTGACAGTAATAGTAGCCTTGCCTGTATTACCAATATCCAATTCAACATTCTTTTCTTGGACCACGAGTAGTCCTGACTTTGCTCCTGTATATGAATGTCGCAGCATATCCTTCACCAAGTCAAAAGCAGGCTCAACTTTGTCGCTGTAGATCCCATCCTCTGAAGTCTACACTGCACCCGAAGCAGAACCGGACGAAGTTGATGAAGCTTGGGTACTCATCCTTGGTTTGATGTGAAGTGCTTCCATCTTTTGCAATCTATCTTGAGATTCATCGTTAATTACCTTACGTCTCTTTCGAGAAGCACTTGGATTCTCATCCTCGTGGTCATCTTCTTCGGCATTGTTGTTTTGGTTATGGTTCCGTGTGGGAGTGTTGTTGGAATGTTGAAGAGCGTCGTCAACAAATCGAATTAGGGTTTGATATTTAGTTCGGTGGTAATCAGGGTAATTTGAGCGAAGATGATCGACGATTTCTTCTGCGGTTTTGTACTTTGATTTGCAGGATTCAACTCGACCGCGAAGAGCGAATTGCAGAGATCTTCCTCCACACCGCCATTGTTTCTTCTTCTTTAGAGGGTAGTATTTGTCGTGTGTAAGATATTCCTTTAGGCCCTATGTGACATTCTTATCTTTACTAATTTGGGTATAAATAGGTGTACTAGGTTTACATTTAATACAATCAATTTCTTCTATCATTAGTGACAGCTTTTAGCATTTATTCCTTTTCTCTCTTCTTTCTCAATTTCATCACCTTGCACTAACAAATTGGTATCTAGAGCTCTTGGTTTGTTCTGAAATTCTGGGAAACACGAGTAATAGTGAGTTGTGTGTTTGATTTTTGAATCTTGAATAAAAATCTGAAACAGAATCACACTGATTATGTGGGTTTGGGAAACACTGAGTGAGAAATCTGAGATCTGAGTTTTGTGCAAGGTTTAAGATGAATGAAGGCAGTAGTTTGAACACTAAACTTCCAGTTTTTGATGGCAAAAACTGGAACAGATGGAAGATACAAATGTGTGTGTTGTTTGGTGCTCAGGATGTTCTGGATCTTGTTTCTGAAGGTTATGTTCCAGTTGCAGCAGATGCTACTGAAGAACAAAAATCAGAAGAAAGAGCTGTGAGGAAGAGGGATCAGAAAGCTTTGTTCTTTATCCATCAGTGTGTGGATGAAAATGTGTTTGAGAAGATTGTTGAATCGACGACGTCGAAAGGGGCATGGGATATACTGACCAGATGTTATGGTGGTGACGTGTCAGTAAAGAAGGTAAAGCTTCAGTCCCTGCGAAAACAATATGAAAATCTCAGCATGAAGAACAGTGAGAAAGTTTCTGAGTACATCTCCAGAATGATTCTGATCACTAATGAGATGAAGACTTGTGGAGAAACACTTTCTGAACAGGTAATCATAGAAAAGATTCTGAGGTCACTTACTCCTCAGTTTGATTACATTGTTGTTTCTATTGAACATTCTAAAAATCTGGAAACCATGAGAATAGAAGAGTTGCAAAGCAGTCTAGAAGCGCAAGAGTTGCGTCTGACTGAAAGAACTTTGAGAGGGAAGTGGAGCAAGCTCTGAAGGCTTCTTTTGTCAAGAAGGACCAGAAGCAGAATAGACATGGTGATAAATTCCAGAAGTCAGAAACCTCAACTTCTGATGAAAAAAAATATCAGAAGGGAAAGGAAAGGTATGACAAGAAGAAGGTTCAATGTTACTACTGTAAACAGTTTAGCCATTTTGCCAGAGACTAGAAACAGAGGAAGGAAATCAGAAGAAGCAAACATAGCCAGAGAAGATTCTGATGATGAATCTGTGCTACTGATGGCTTCTGATTCTGATGGAAACTGTTCAGATATTTGGTGGTATATGGATACTGGCTGTTCAAACCACTTGACTGGGAACAAACAATGGCTGATAGACTTTGACTCCAGAAGGAGAACAAAGATCAGATGTGCTGATGATAAGTACCTTAATGCAGAAGGTATGGGAAATGTTAGAGTCAAAGTGAAGAATGGAAGAAACATTCCGATCAAAGACGTTTGGTATGTTCCTGGAATTAAAAGCAATCTGATGAGTGTGGGTCAGCTTATTGAGAAAGGTTTCTCAGTGGTTATGAAGGACAATCTCTTGACGTTGTATGATTCTAATCAGAAGTTGATTATGAAGTCTGAGCAGGGAGGCAACAGAACATTCAAGGTGAATGTAGAAACTTCTGAAGCGGAGTGTCTTAGTGCAGAAGGCGCTGAAGCTGATAGTAAGATGTGGCACAAGAGGTTGGGGCACTTGAACTATAGAAGCTTAGGGCATCTAAGTTCTAAGAAGCTCGTACATGGCATTTCGAAGATTGTGAAGCCTCAGAAGTCATGTGAGATATGCATGAAAGGCAAGCAACCCAGATTGCCATTTGCATCAAAAGTAGCCCCCAGAGCAAAGCATGCTCTGGGAGTAGTACATTCTGATGTGTGTGGACCATTTACAGTACCTTCACTTGGAGGAAACAAATATTTTGTGTCTTTTGTGGATGAGTTCACAAGAATGACATGGGTAACACTCATCAAGTTCAAGCATGAAGTGTTTACTGAGTTCCAGAAGTTCAAGGTGAAGGCTGAGAAGCAGAGTGATCAGAAGCTGAAGATTCTGAGAACAGATGGTGGAGGTGAGTATAACTCTACAGAGTTCCAGAAGTTCTGTGAGGAGAATGAAATAGAACATGAGGTTATTGCTCCATATACTCCTCAGCACAACGGTCTTGCTGAAAGAAGAAATAGAACTTTGTTTGATATGACCAAAAGTATGCTGAAAGAGAAGAAGTTACCTCACATGTTATGGGGAGAAGTTGTTGCCACATCAGCATATGTTCTGAAAAAGTGTCCAACAAAGAAGCTGAAGGAAATTGTTCATTTAGAAAAATGGACTGGAGACAAGCAAAGTATTAGCCATCTGAAGGTGTTTGGTTCTGTATGCTACAAACACGTTCCAGAGGCTAGAAGACGAAAACTGGATGATAGAAGCAAAACAATGTTACTGGTGGGGTACCACAGTACAGGTGCCTATAAGCTTTATTGTCCAGAAACCAACAAAGTTGAAATCAGTAGAGACGTCATTGTGAAAGAGTCAGAAACATGGGATTGGAACAAGCTTCAATCAGATTCTGGTGTAGCGCCAACACCAGGGTTAGTTTCTGAAGATCCTTCGGAAAGTTCTGAAGATGAGTCAGAGTCGGAAGATAAAGACTCTGAAGATGAGTCAGAATCTCAGGGAGATTCTGATAGTGGATCTGATTCTGATCCAGATTCTGATGATGATCCAGAATCTGGTGGTGATTATACTTCTGGAAGGGAAAACTCTGAATACATGGGGTCTGGAGAACAAGTTTCCAGAAGTAACTCTGAAGGTGGTAATTCTGAAGGAAATAATTCTGGACAAAGTCCAGAAGCTAGCATAGTTCCGAGTTCTGGAGAAGCTTCAGAACAAGATCAGAGGCCACAGAGAATCAGACGAATACCAAGTAGGTTTGCAGATTTTAGCATGTTGCATGATACTGAAGTAGATTCTGAAGGAGAAATCGTTCAGTGTGCCATGCTAGTAGATTCTGAACCAGTGGGTATTGAAGAAGCGCTCAAGAAGAAAGTATGGCTGAATGCCATGAAAGAAGAACTTGAGGCTATTGAAAGAAACAAGACTTGGAAGCTGACAGAACTTCCAAAAGGCAAGAAAGCCATCAGCGTCAGATGGGTTTTCAAGCAGAAGCTAAAGCCATATGGATCAATTGGCAAACACAAAGCGAGACTAGTGGCCAGAGGTTTTCTTCAGAAACCTGGACTAGATTACTTTGAGGTGTTTGCGCCTGTAGCTAGACACGAAACAATCAGACTGGTGATTGCTTTAGCTGCAAACAGAAATTGGCCTTTGATACATCTGGATGTGAAGTCTGCATTTCTGAACGGTCCATTACAAGAAGAAGTTTACGTGTCATAACCTCCTGGATTTATGAAAAAGAATCAGGAAGGGATGGTATACAGGTTAAATAAAGCTCTGTATGGACTGAAGCAAGCGCCCAGAGCTTGGAATTTGAAGATTGATTCGTTTTTCAAGGAACAAGGGTTTCAGAAGTGTGAGATGGAGTATGGTATTTATGTTCAGCACACTTCAGAAGGTAATATGATTCTGGTCTGTTTGTATGTTGATGACATATTACTCACTGGAAGTTCTGAACAAGAAACAGTTGAGTTCAAGAAAGTTCTGATGAATGTGTTTGAGATGACAGATCTTGGAAAAATGAGTTTCTTTCTAGGGATGGAATTTATATACTCTGAGAAAGGAATCATCTTACATCAGAAGAAGTATGAACTGAAGCTTCTGAAGAAATTTGAGCTAGCAAATTGCAAGATTGCTATCACACCTGCTGATACGAATCAGAAGTTGGATTCTGATTCTGATGGAGAGGATGTGGATGCTACAACCTTCAAACAGATGGTTGATTCTCTGAGGTATTTGTGTAATACCAGACCTGATATTTGCTATGCAGTTGGAATGGTCAGCAGATACATGAGTAAACCAAAGTGGTCTCATTACCGAGCTGCTGTCAGGATTCTGAGGTATGTAAAAGGAACTCTGAAATATGGGGTGTTATTTCCTTCTGGAGGAAAGATCAAATCAGAACTTCTGAGTTATTCTGATTCTGATTGGTGTGGAGATAGAGTTGACAGAAGAAGTACTTCTGGGTACTTGTTCAAGTTTCTGGGAGGTCCAATCTCTTGGAGTTCCAAGAAACAGCCTGTTATGGCTTTGTCAACATGTGAAGCTGAATACATTGCAGGTGTTGTAGCTGCTTGTCAAGCAGTTTGGCTTCTAAATCTACTGCATGATCTGAAGGTTGAAGTTGAGGAACCTCTGAAGCTGATGATTGATAATAATTCTGTAATTAATCTTGCAAAGAATCCAATGCTACATGGAAGAAGCAAGCACATTGAGACGAAGTATCACTTTCTCAGGAGTCAAGTGCAGAAAGGAGTGTTAGAAGTTTTGTACTGTAGCACTCAGAAGCAGCTAGCAGATGTTCTGACAAAGGCGATAAAAACAGACCAATTTCTTCGCTTGAGAGATGAAATTGGTGTTGTTAACTTCTGATAAGTTACTAAATTACGGGATGGTATTAGAGGGTAATTTAGTATTTGTCATATGTAGGATATTCCCTTTAGGCCCTATGTGGCATTCTTATCTTTACTATTTTGTGTATAAATATGTGTACTAGGTTTACATTTAATACAATCAATTCCTTCAATCATTAGTGGCAACTTTTAGCATTTATTCCTTTTCTCTCTTCTTCCTCAATTTCATCACCTTGCACTAACATTCTTCAATCTCATAAACACAAAATCACTATATGTGGAGTGCTAATTACACTAGGGTTTGGGACTGCCGTTCTGTTTATTATTAGGATTTTGGTGGATAAAACTTTGCTCGAGGAACTTGAGTCAATGGGCTTTTCAACAGCTCATGTAACAAGGGCACTTCATTTCTCCTCTAAATTCTGGATTCTGGATACGTCTAGTGATTGGAGTTAAATGTATTGGATTGTGTGGTGAATGTTTAAATTTAT